ATATGAGCCAAAAACTGCATTTTACCCTATGAACTATTTTTTAGCCATGTCGGCCATCTTGGTTCGCGCGCGGGTCATCGGACACATTTTTTTAAACTAGATACCCTAATGATGATTGTGGACAAGTTTGGTTAAATTTGTCCTAGTAGTTTCAGAGGAGAAGATTTTTGTAAAAGATTACAAAAATTTACGAAAAATGGTTAAAAATTGACTATAAAGGGCAATAACTCCTTAAGGGGTCAACTGACCATTTTGGTCATGTTGACTTATTTGTAGATCTTACTTTGCTGAACATTATTGCTGTTTACAGTTTATCTCTTTCTATAATAATATTCAAGACAATAACCAATTCAGGGGCAGCAACCCAACAACGGGTTTTCAGATTCATCTGAAAATTTCAGGGCAGATAGATCTTGACCTGATAAACAATTTTACCCCATGTCAGATTTGCTCTAAATGCTTTGGTTTCGGAGATATAAGCCAAAATCTACATTTTACCCCTATGTTCTATTTTTAGCCATGGCGGCCATCTTGGTTAGTTGGCCGGGTCACCGGACACATTTTTTAAACTAGATACCCTATTGATGATTGTGGACAAGTTTGGTTAAATTTGGCCAAGTAGTTTCAGAGGAGAAGATTTTTGTAAAAGTTTACTGACGACGGACGACGGACGCAGGACGACGGACGCCAAGTGATGAGAAAAGCTCACTTGGCCCTTTGGGCCAGGTGAGCTAAAAAAGGCTGGGGCCAGTTTCACAAAGCTATCCTAAGACCTGTCATGAGATATATCTTAGGACATGTCTTATGATCCTCTTATGACTATCTTCGAACATATCTCAGACCTAGCCTCAAAGCTGTCTTAGGATGATCATAGCAAAGATGTCCTAAACCTGTCGCAAGTTCTTTAAATGTTCAAATATTAACATGGATTTATGGAAAAATTCTTGTAAATATAGTAGGTGTTTCCCACAAATTACTAAACCGTATTGGTTAATATTCCATAATTAGATAATTTGCAAAATTAACATAAAAAATAACTGTAATTTATATAAATAATCTATTAATAATACACCAATATACAAATTCAAATACAAAATTGAAAAAAAAATTAAAATTAGGACAATTTTTTTTTGTTAAAAGTGAGTTGAATTCAATTTGTCACCGTTTCAGTTATAATAACTAAAGGTTAAAGGATAAAATCGTGCGTTCTTGCTATAAATACATCGAATGTTCATTGTTTATAAATCATTTTGATAATCTGTCAACCTATAAAGATTTAGTTAAGATCACGAAAAGGAGATTAGATAATTAGATAATGAATTTGCAACCAAGTTTAAGAGATGTCATAAGTTAGGACCACTTTGTGAAACCCACTTAGGACTAAGATATGTCGTAAGACCATCCTAAGACATGTCTTAGTCCTAAGACAGCTTTGTGAAACTGGCCCCAGAAGTACAAAAAACCTGTGTTTAGGATTTTCCTACTTATCCTTTTTTGATGCCTCAAAATGTATACCCTAATGTTTTTTATTTGGCTCTTTGAACCTCAAAATCTACAGGGGTGTTTGTCATCACATGGGACATAATAAATCAAACCTAGCTAGTGAAGGTTAAACATATGGTTTAAAAGAAAACATGTGGAAAACTAAAAATTACCCAAATTTCATTCTATCATAATCAATATCTTCTATGACATTGACCTCAAAATCAATAATGGTCTTCTCAAATTCCAAAGTTTGGAAAAAAAAATGACATATGGTTCAAAATAAAACTTCCTAAAACACAAATTTTGCCAAAATTTCAGTCTATCAATAGCTGTAGTAACCTTTACCTTTGACATATTGACCCTGAAACATGGTCTTTTCTAAACCCATGAGGCATTTTTTAATTGAGTTTGGCAAAAGTTGTACATATGGTTCAAAAGATAACATTTTGAATCAAAATAATATATGCCAAAATTTCTGTCTATCAATGAGCTGCTAAGAATTTTACATATGACCCCAAAACTGATATTTTTCTACATATATTTAACCAATTAATACTTTTGAAAAAATAAATAGGGATTCATTATCATTTTTTGAATACTAACTATTGTGGATTTCTTAGAACATTTAGAATAAACTTGATATAGGTGTACCACAAATTTATCGGCAGAATTTGTAAAAACCATCAAATCAATTCAAGTATTGATTGATTGATTGGTGTTTAACACCACTTTCAACACTGTTCTGCTATTTCGTGGCGGTCAGTTGTTATTGGTGGAGGAAGCTGGAGTCCCAGGAGAATACCACCGACCTTTGGTCAGAAAACTGACAATCCTAGTCAATTAAGATTGGAGTAGAGTGTACCCACATGGACAGGGTTCAAACTCACAACCTCAGTGTTGACTGGCTAGTAATTACAGTAGTTGAACTACTTAGAACACTCGGCCACCGAGGCCCCTCAATTCAAGTATAGTGAAAATACAATTTTATATGAATTAGTTAAATAAAGTTGCCTGATACATTAATTGTAATCCATAATGTAAATGTATCAGGCAAGTATATCTAACTAACATATTCACATAAAATCTTTTCTTGAAATTCAAAAATATCCAATTTTCCTCAATTAAAAAAATAGGTACATAAAAAAAATAAATGAATCCACTTCAGTCAATAGACATATATTTCATACTCATTATAAACATGTATACTTACATGTACAATAGTTTGTTTTTTCCTTGCTATCTTTATTTATTTCTAATCCCAAAATCATTTTTTAGCACAACAAATGACACATAAATTTGATAAACACCAATAAATATTGTCCAATTCAATTTCCTTCTTCATGTATCAAAAATTCATAGCTGTACAATCAAATTTACTGCCATAATCATTGATTATTAAACCCCTCATTTATGTCATTATAGCAGTGTATATATATATATGGAATTTAAAAATTTGAATGTCATACATGTAGCATTTGAAATTTAGTATTTCACATATAATGAGTACTTACAGTCTAAGGGAGTGTGGATATCTCTAAAAATATGTGGTACCGTATGTGTCTATTGTAAATATTGTTCATTTAACCATGATTTAATGGTATTTCAATCATTTTTAACAATAATCTTAACTTATTGTAATAGAAAACAATTGAATTTGGTACATGGATTATTAGTGTGATTATTTATAAAATATACATACATTTAGCATTCATAAATGTACAGGAATATCTATCCACAAATCAATAATGTAATAACTAAAAATATTCCCCTCATCAAATGCAAATATACATGCACATAACGTAATACCTGTAGCAACATGTGTTGCCTTTGGTTCAATTCATTCAAATATGAAATTGAAATTATTGATAAAAATGTTATGTTCTGCTTATTAATAATTTTAACAGTACCAATTTAACTACACCAGATGTGCATTTCAACAATTAATATCTGTTTAGCGATGCTTGGGGTCAGAATATTTTAAGATCCGAATCCTAATACATGTACAATTGTTGAAGAGCTGATCTAATCAAAAAGAACCTTGAATGTATATATATATACATGTATACATAGCCAAACCAGACAAGGAATCATTAAAATGGATATTTTCCATGACATCTGCATGAAAATGATGATATCAATATAAAATAAAAGATAATAGGTACTATGGGTTTTGTCAAAAATATTTGACCTCATAGAGAATTTAACTTTAAAAGGGCTGTTGAATTATTAAATGTTAGTGTGTGCATGATGAAAAGGGTGGTGGGGCGTTTCAAAATTGAAATATGATGGGTGGCTGTATTTTTTATGTTTTTTTTATATAAATCTAAAAAAATATATCTTGTATGGCTGGGTTAAAAGCTCTTGATAAAATAAATACAACTGATCAATTGGTAAGTTTTCTGAATAGTTTCTGGTGTACAATAAAAGGTTTTAATGGCTTACTGTAATGTACATGGTTGCCTATAATTGCTTACATCCACTTCAATTGAACTTTGGTGGATTGTTGTCTCATTGGCAATCATACCACATCTTTTAAGTTATGGGTACTCAAACTAATAAATTTTTTATTTAAGGAATAACTGTAATATTGTTTCTGTCTATGAAGAAATAACATCAAAAATGTGATGCACACTGAATAACCCGTGTAGCGGGTTATTTTAAAGTGTGCATCACATTTTTTATATTATTTCGAATAGACAGATAAAATATTACAGTTATTTCTTATAATTTAATTCTAAATTCCATTTTAAACCGGAGTAAACAATGAAAAAACGTTGATGACGTCACGGTCACATGACTAAATTATGTCTATGAGCTGATAAACAAAACAACGACAGCCAATCAGCAGACACGTTACATCCAAAATTAAATTATTTGAATACAGAACAGATAAGATGATTTAGTGATATTTTTCATGTATTCCGGCCCATATCCTACTTTGTATGCCTGCATTTATTGAATCACTATGTAACAATCAGCTAACTGCTGATAACAGACCTGTCAATGTTCCTGATTTAAAGGGGTCTCCCCAGTTAGTGGTCAGTGTTGACCTGACTATTGAAATCCTCAAACTAAAATCATTTTGAAAATACCTCAAAGAAAGTCATTCAAGAGTGGAAAAGTATACCAAATATAGTCCAGTTATTTGATAGAAACAATTATGACAAGTTTAGGGATTTTCCTCTTACTATATCAGTGTATCCCAAACTCTGTCTGACTGACAAAATGTCAAGACAAAAAATTCATTCGGTCAGACAGAAATTTTGAGATTTTTTAGTTGAAAATATAGGAGAAAAGGTCAAATTTCTTTATCAGTCGAACAAACTCTAAAACAGTTTGGCACAGACTGCTACATATGTATTTTGACCACACGTACTTATCCAAGTAAAGTTACAATGGCATATGTAGTACTTAATTAAGCATTTTGAAACCACTTTTTTGCACAAATGTTAGTCTATTTTCAGTAACTTTGACCTTGATCTTAGACATTGTCCTCAAATCAATAGTATACTTACCCTGGTCAACATTGCCATTAGATTCCCCAGAATGTAACTTAGTGTATTTCATTGTCATTCTGGATGGCCTGCTGTAAGCTGTGTCTGCAGAAGTCAAAAGTGACTCCATGATGGTACTGTGTACTCTTGCCCAACTTCTTATCCTTGATTTAAAGAACTACTTCATATTTTGCCTGAAACAATTGCACAAGTATAAGTTAAAGTAATTTTTCAACACTACTAACGCAAAACTGGCACAGCAGCAGCACCAGAGTATATTTCGTAAAATCAATAAAAATTGCAAAATCACAAGATCAATGATTTGATGCACAAATGCAGATAAATTGCAACACAACATATATTTTCATAGAAACAAAATAAATCTGTTTAGTTGTATCTACTTGCTGGCAGAAATAATGTAGGTGTTTATGTTAAATACTGAAGCTTATCATGTTTATCTAATATTTTGCCAAGCTGTGCTGTCAGATGTAAAATTTCTATTAAATCATGACAAGAGGCCTATATTGATAAGATTTTCCTCTTGCCTTCATTTTTGTTCTGAGGTAAAATATAACAAGAATGTGTCCATAGTACATGGATGCCCCACTCGCACTATCATTTTCTATGTTCAGTGGAAAGTGAAATTGGGGTCAAAAATCTAATTTGGCATTAAAATTAGAAAGATCATATCATAGGGAACATGTGTACTAAGTTTCAAGTAGATTGGACTTCAACTTCATCGAAAACTACCTTGACCAAAAACTTTAACCTGAAGCAGGACAGACGGACGAATGGACGCACAGACCGAAAAACATAATGCCCCTAGGTGGGGCATAAAAATAGCATAAAATAATGCTAAACTAATTTTTTTCATTTTCCAAATATTTACCATGTATTCAAGGTCGTACTAGCCACAAAAACATACCTCTACTTTATTCCCGAAAAATAAGGTATACTTCAAATTTCAGACACTCACTGTTCATATGACTGCATTAACTTATTGTTGCTATAAAACTGTAATAACTTATCAGTGCATTTCATGCTCAGGCATATGAAGTATTGTTGCTAAGTCATTATAATAAAGTAACATATTGTATGATGATAACAATGAACTATCAGTTCAAGCCTTGTAACATCTGCTGTATCAGTCTATTATTGAATAAATTATTTTATTCTTCTTTGAAAGTGACAGCTATGTTCATGATGTTTGATAGCAGTTGAAATAATATTTAATTTATTCTTCTTTGAAAGTGACAGCTATGTTTGATAGCAGTTGAAATAATAAACCGTAATTAAAATGGCAAGATCATTTTTTTAAAGTTTTTCTATGGGATATTCCAAGAAAATATTGTATGGGGTAACATGGAAAGTACCTTTCCTCGCCGAGCGCAGCATGATACGACCGCAGCATGATACAACCGCAGAGGTCCAACCCTGAACAGTTGGGGCAAAAATGGACACAATATTCAAGCTTGATACAGGTCTGAATTTGGATTGTCATTAAATATTTGACACATTATAGGTTTCTGACACAGAATAAATGTAGTCAAAGAACTTGAAATTGGTTATATGATTTGAATTTATATTCAATTGAAGATTTCTTGCTGTTAGCAATACACTGTGCTGTTGCGCAATACTTAGTAAATCTGTTTTCAGACTATATGTACAAAGAATTAGCAAAATAAATTGTGACCCCCAATTTTTTTTTTTGGAAAATTGATAATTTCTTAAATCTTGAAGGAAATTTGCGGTTCAATTTAAAAGACATCCATACACTTAAACACAAGTTATTGTCTGAAAACTAGAAAATTACTTGTTTTGGCCCCTTTATGGCCCCTAATTCCTGAACGGTTTGGCCAATTACCCCCAAAATGAATCCCAACCTTCTACTTGTGGTATTGAACCTTGTGGTACAATTTCAGAGCAATCAAAATACTTATACACAAGTTATTGTCCTGAAACTAGAAAAATGCTTGTTTTGGGTCCCTTTTTGGCCCCTACTTCCAATACGGTTGAGACCATCACCCCCAAAAACAGTCCCAACCTTCCGTTTGTGGTATTGAACCTTTAATTTAAATTTCATAGAGATCCATACACTTAAACTAAAGTTATTGTCCGGAAACCAAATGTCTTTGGTGGACGACGATGACGATGTGATAGCATTATACGAACGCAATTTTTTTGCGGTCTTATAAAAACTGCTCTGAACCCCATTACCATGATTGCCTATGTATTGCTATATACATGCATCCCCCCATTTTTCTTCTTCCAGAGATAGCCCTATTGTTTTAAACAATATGTCTGTTATAATTTAGTAATTTCTGCTGTGTAGTCCAGAGTTCTCAGTAGTACTTTTTAATAGCACCTTAAAATTTAATTGAAATTGCAGGGTTTCCCTAAATTCAAATATTAATCTATTTACATCCATCAAGTCCATTATAAAATCTTTTCACATAGCAATATGGTACCATGATGCTATACATGTAAGCATCACAATGCCATAGGAATAGCTGTGTGGGTCATAACTTTTAAAGAAAACAATGTTTTGAGAATATAAATTTACAAACATGACAAAAGATCATTTTCAAGAAAATAGAATATAAATATGTTATTCCAAATAGACAATTTAATTAACATTACTTTAAAACAAAATAAATAATTACAAATTAATCATATATTTTTACAAACTGTTGTAGTAGATATACAATTATCATGATTATTGTACATGTTGTATAGCCATGAAAAAACCTGCTGGGTCAATTTCTCTTTTTTAACAGATGACAATTATCAATGATACTTTAATTGTTTGATGATTTTTTCTTTAAAAAAAAATTATCATTCTTAAAGTTTAAAATAGCTCATATCACAATATAGATTTTTTTTTCCAGGAATTTCTTGTCAGTGGGTTCAAGAAAAAATTCTCTGTAGACTGATAATTCTTGTGGCTCGTTTGATTTTATGCCAAGAAAATAAAATAAAAAGTTTTCCCTGCCTGCCAACCATTTACAATCTTTGTGTGTAAGGGGGAACCAACATTCAATTTTCATTTTCCTTATGGACATTACTGTCATGACTGTGTTTTGGGAAAATACAGAATGTAATTAACCATCACCATCAGCGATTTTTTCACTAAATGATCTACTCTTACATGTATAGTGGTAATGTACAAAAAATGTATATATACTTTACCTGTTTACTGCTTTACATGATGTCTGATAACATAAAGAAATTTTGAAAATTGATTACCTTTAGCAAGTTATGATCTGTCAATTTTTTTTGGTTTTTAGATAATTCCAGTAAAAATATGTAAAAGCTGCCTATCTTAATACATGTCTAATATCATATAACAATAAATATCTGACTAGCATTGGCTAGACTTGCATAAATATATATACAATTTTTTTTCCTGAGACACATGCTCCATGTTAGGCTACAGTTGTATAAAATTCAATTTAATGATTTGATTAACAAATCTTTGCTTGTTACAACATTCTTCTCATACTGCATACAATTATCTCATTTTATTTGTTACTGTTTGTTCAATTATTTTCTGCCATCAACCTTTCTGGACTGAAAAGTGTATATATATTTTTTTCCATTTATCATGTTTATAACCGAAATGCTTGTCTGAAAGTCAATACTAATTACAGCAGTCATGGCTGTGGATATTTTGTGAGTAAGAATTTTGCTAAAAAATCTTATTTTAATTGTCTTGAAAATACATGTACATGATGCATGTGTCCTACATTGTTTACATCAATGTTTTGGTTTGTTATTGTGTGTTCAACTTTTACCATATATATAGTCTAAATAAGTCTAGATAGACAAATTAGGGGTTTCTATGTGCATGTTAAACTGTATGGTTGGTTTACCCTACCTCTGTTAAATTTATTCACAACTTTATTTTTTTCAAATTAAAGCTTTATACACTGTATAATGCCCCCTAGGTGTCTTAGCTTTTAGTTAATTATTGTTGTTAGATTGCTGTCTCATTGATACATACCTAAAATTTTATTCTATTCTTATACATTCTGATAGTTTCAATTTTATAACCAGTCTTTTAATATCAACCACAGGGAGATAACTCTAATTCATTGATGATTGTCACTTATCATGCTTATTGTCACTTATTGCAGTCAAGGATATAACTCTATAGGGTTATTAGAGAAAAATAGCATACATTTGTTATCGTGGACTAAAAAATCAAAGAACTGTGATAACATATGTATGTTACATGTTCCAAAGGGCCAATATTCATCATTTGTTTTGTTAAAATGTATTCAAGTTCTTAATTATTGATATAATTGTCTTTATGTATACTAATTAGACCGTTGGTTTTCCCGTTTGAATGGTTTTACACTTGTAATTTTTGGGGCCCTTTATAGCTTACTGTTCGGTGTGAGCCAAGGCTCCATGTTGAAGACCGTACTTTGACCTATAATGGTTTACTTTTTTAAATTTTGACTTGGATGGAGAGTTGTCTCATTGGCACTCATACCACATCTTCTTATATCTATAAACTATAGAAAGATATAACAGTTCATAGTTTGCCAATCATACATAGTACACGGTACACCTATGTTATTGCAGAAAAAATATGCCGGTAATAACTAAAGGGTGTTATTACATGTACAGCTTCTCTACATCACTTCAAAGCCTTTGCTCAGACATACATCATGCTTAATCATAATGTATTTTAATTTATTGTAAGAATTAATTATCAGAGCATGTAATGAGGTTCTGCGTAAGCTTCCCAGTAATTCCCAAGTGTCTCATATAATAAGTTACATACCTTTAATAACTAAGCCTTGTTATTACAGCTAAGTTTATAACTTAAAAGCCTTGTCTCATTGGTTAATGATGAATGTATTAATTTAATTCAAAAATTAATTATCAAGGCTATGCATTTAGTTTCAGCGCAAAGTTTCAAGAGTTCCCTAGAGCCCACTAAAATTTAAAATGTTGATGATTTATTTTACAAATAACAACATATGTTATTACAGTTTTAGAAAATTTAAGGATTAAAGAGTAGACAACTCATAAAAATATCTGTAATAACACATGCAAGATATTTCCTGTAATAACCCTATAGAGTTATATCCCTGACTGTCCATAACATAATCTATTAGAAAATCGATTCAGATAGCATCACAATCGAGATGTATAGCATGACATTACCATGATGTTAAAAGGCCCTGGGGAGAACACTGCTTTTTAAATTGAAACTATTCATGCTATTTGTCGAGTAACAGTACTATGGACTCATTGGAATCAGCTGGGACTCACTATTATGACCATTTCAATAAGTGATGAGTCCCAGGACTCACTCTCAAATTATCCTAGTGCAAACCCTGGGCATAGGTATTGCTATTAAGTAGCACAACAGAATCAGTGCCAAACACTTTTGGGTCTTAAAGTCATGAAAATGATGAAAGTATTACAATCAAAGAAGCTACCTTGGCTCATAACTTGTCAATATGTTTTAAGTCTGTCTTATTTTTCAATTAATTCTTTGCTTTTGAAATAGTGTTTGTTTTTTGTACAACAAATCTATCAGTTAACCTTTTAAACCAATAATTAGTAATTATCTTTCTAACAATCTGACCGCTGATCAAGCGATGTCATTCCAACCTAAACTATCTGTTAGCTGTCACTGTCTGACAGCAGTTCTATATCTTTATTAAAATTCAAATAAGAACAGAAAGGAAGCCCTCCTAAGATCCCAACCAATCCCATCCCTGGGCTGACAGGATAATTAAAATGATTGTATTACATGTATTAACATGATTAAATGAAAATATAAACAAGCAGCTGAGTGATTATGCAATATCCCATGCAGCAGACTTCACGCTTAGCTTTTGAGTCCACAAGCCAGAATCTCAATTTTTAGAAAACTTTAGTTGGATTCTGTTGGCTTGTAGAGAAGAATTTTACAAGCCTGAAAGCAATTTTACAAGCCAATGCCGTAGGACTTGTGGTTAAGCGTGAAGACTGATCATGCATCGTAAAATCAAAACTCAAATGATCCCTTGATTCCCCTTTAAATTGTATACATTTTAAAATTTGTGATGGTTTAAAGGAGCCAAAAATTTCTACAAAAAGGGCAGAGCATCTCGAAAATGAACTATATCAAATGGGGCATGGCAATACACCATCCCAATTCCTCGGACCTCCTGTAAGAAACAAGTAACTATCAAGCTGATTTTAGGCATGTTAGGAGTGAATATTCCTCAAATCTTCACATCAATGAAAAAGGTAAATTTTAGCTTTAATCACATGTTGTTTAATGTCTACCGTTTTCTTCTCATGAATATAATGATATATATCTGAGCTACAGACTGTGGTATCTAATGTTGGTAAACAGGTTGGTGACAACCCGCCAAAGAGGGAATAGTTCCTCAAATGGGTAACTATCCCTGAAAAGAGGGTACTTTTCTACTGATAAAAAACAATTTCTTAATACACATTATGTATACATTAATGACTTGAACAGGTTGGGAATAACGCCCCAAATGAGGGAGCCCGCTATCCCTTAAATGAGGGACTGTCCCTCAGACAAGAGGTAATTTTACTGTTGTAGGCAAGAAAAAAGAAAAAACTTAGCCTTTTTAACTTTACTGGAAAATTCTTTATATTTGGAACAACTTTTCTAAAAGAGAGGTCCTTTCATTTTCAATAGTAAAAAAAAAGATTGAGGTCCATGAAAATACCAAAATTCATGGACATATATGTCGCTCTAATATAATTATAGTCAATTTAACTATTGTCAGTTTTTGTCTCAATACTGTATGCCAAAACCATTTAATGTAAATGTGTTAGTGCTAATAAATATTGTCTTTTGTCTTTATCAATATAATATCAGATAGATGTATTGTTCTTTGGGAAAGTTTCTGCAAATAATATAAATATGTGCCTTTTTGTACTTAGAAGTGTATTTTTTTTAATATTTTTTATCACTTAAAATTTACCCCTCATAAAAGGGATAGGTATTACCTTGAGGGGTAATAACTCATAATTTGAGGGGTTGTTCCCATTGAGTGTTGAAATGGCATATAATGACATATTCATGAAATTTGATAATTTAAATAATAATAATAACAAATTCTTTATATAAAGAGGGTAACCTGGTAACTCAATTAGAACAGTCTAATTTTCATTGATTACTTTTTCCAAAACCCCTGAATAAAATTCTCTTTTATTTTTGTTCTTAGTATTCTTGCTATGCACTGTATAGCCCTAAACATTTAAATAAACAATTGGAATGCATGTAGTCAATGTCAAAAGTTTTGTTTCGTCTGCTTGACAGAAAAAATGCGTTATCATATTCTAGCTTCACAATCTAGGGTAAGGCAAATTGTATTATTAATTACCCGTGACAAAGATGGTTTATTTTTTATATTCAAATTTCACTGAGATTCACTCAGAATGATGTCTGTTCAAATTCTCTGACACGTTTCTGTTTCTGTCGCTGAAGACATCGAAAATAAATATGGTCGCTTAAGGTAACAAGACACTTCCGGCACCAATCAATTTCGGCACCTTCTTCCAAACACAATTCGGCATCTTTTCTGCTATCACTTTAAAAGTATCAGATCATTCCTTCTGATATATTCTATCCCTTTATAATGATTTTGATTGCATACAATTTTTCACGGTCTTTTAATTTAGTGACAATCTATGCTTTACCATTACCAGTTTTATCATTTTCTATAAACATAGATCTGCATGATCTTTTGGGGGAATATTTATTCTAGTAGTTACCTTAAGGTTCATGTGGACCCTTCGTCTAAAATGGCTGCATTTTCACCTTATATCGCTTATTCCGTAAAATACACATGAAAATTCTTTTAGAATTAAATTCATCTGTAACTACATGTCTCACGGGGGTCTCAACACGGGTTGGGGGCTGGGATTTCAAAAACCGCCCCCGCCCTTTCCCCATTTCATATATTGAAGACTTAATTGTGTAAATAACGACCCATTGACAGTTACCTTGGTGAAATAACAACCCATTCATATATTCGACGTATCATAAAGAGACCCATTCCAGAGGCGCGTCTGTGTATATACCTCAATGCTGGAAGATACCCCACAATCCCGCACCCACGGCATCCCCCCCCCCCCTCCCGTGTCTCTTTCTGTAGTCAGTATTGACCTACTTCTTTTATTTCTACAGTAATTTCTATACTTTTGCACTATGTTCTTCTCTTTAGTTTATTTTAATATTCTCATTTTTCTCTCTTCATTTTTTTTTTTTTATTTTTTTTTTTGCCATTATATAACAAGTCTAAAAGGATACAACATCATGAACATTTTTCTTAGATATTTCGGATAACTAATATCCTTCATCAGTAAGATGTAAAATGAATCTTATCTTGACATGTGGTACTCAAACTGAAATAAAAATCTTGAATGCTATACAAATTATCAATAATCAATACGCTGGTAAATTTTTTCAATATTGATATTTGGAAGGAGGAATAAATTTCCTAAAACTGTAAGAGTCCTAAACGGAAGCCTGAGTAACTGGAAACAAGTGATGGTAGGGAAAATGAGTGACACATTCTATGTTTTTTCATGTATGTCCTCTGGGGAAACTGTCCTATAAATTTTCTTATCCAAAACCTTTCCCGAGCAAGTCTGTCGGCCCTTGACAAACCCTCGTTGTGGTCTATGATAGTGATGGTAAGGTTTTTGAGATCAGCTTGGGCGTGCCCAGGTGATCTAAAATGACGACTTACGGGTGAGGTCGGGCTTGCAGGTGTAGTCACTTCGATAACCATTCATGTGTTTGTTGAATGGCTGTTCTGTCTAGCCAACATACAGCATGCCACATCGACACTGAAGAAGGTATACAACATTCTGGGTTTTGCAAGTTACATTGCAAAATATAGTGTACACAGACCCAGTGGAGTGGCAAGTAAATGTTTGAGTATTCAGTATTTGTTGGCAAGTCATACATCGTCTGTTACCACACGACTTGCACCAACCTGCAGTTGAACAGCTTTTATTAGAGGAGACATCAGCTCTCACAAATAAGTCTTTCAGACTTGCTGGTCTCCGTAAAGCTAAGACAGGAGGTTTGGGAAAGATCTTGGATAATTTAGGGTGCTTGGCAATAGTTTGCCAATTGGCATGGATCAAACGTGAAAGGTTAGTAAAGGCGGGATTGTATGTTAAAACAAATGGAACTACTTTGCTGCGCCTCTTCTGTTTGTATTGTAATAGGTCATTGCGGCTGTTATTGTTAGCACGTGCAAATCCCTTGTCCCATTTCTTATAACCTCGTTTGGTCAAAAATCCGCGAAGTTCCTGTAACCGTTTAGTGACAGCCTCCTCAGAGGAGCAAATCCGCTTTACTCTGAGAGCTTGACAATAGGGGATACTTTTTGTACAGTGTTTGGGGTGACAGCTTTGGGGAGAAAGGTGCTGATGTTTATCTGTAGGTTTACAGTAGAGGTCTGTTGATATGACACCGTCCTTTATAGATGTAGTTGTGTCTAAGAAAGATATTTTAGAGTCGGAATTGTTCATGATTTAATTATTACTTCAAATTAAAGTTAAGTTGACATTTCAATTTGTGTAATATTTCTTGTAAAAGAGGGAAGAACAATTGGCATGGATCAAACGTGAAAGGTTAGTAAAGGCGGGATTGTATGTTAAAACAAATGGAACTACTTTGCTGCGCCTCTTCTGTTTGTATTGTAATAGGTCATTGCGGCTGTTATTGTTAGCACGTGCAAATCCCTTGTCCCATTTCTTATAACCTCGTTTGGTCAAAAATCTTCAGTGATAAGTTAGTGTATTAAAATTACAAAATATATGGATTCCGAGTACTTTTCCATAAAGAAAGTGCAAAAATGGTTACTTCCGGTTTTCTCAAAGTCACTTCCGGTTGCAATTCTTCAAGGTCATATGTCATCCAGCCTTTTGTAAAACCATTGTTTTGTTTATTATCTTAGAGTCTTAGTGCTGATATAAAGATAAGGAGACGTGGTATGATTGCCAATGAGTCAACTATTCACCAAGACCAAAAGACGAGGATGCAATGAGACAACTATCCACCAAGACCAAAGGACGAGGATGCAATGAGACAACTATCCACCAAGACCAAAGGACGAGGATGCAATGAGACAACTATCCACCCAAGACCAAATCTTAGCGTTGCATGAGGGGGGTAGGAGGGGTCCTGATCCCGAAATCCCGGGTTTAAAAACATGGAATCCCGAGGTCCCGAATTTAAAAAAAATTAAATCCCGACATCCCGAAATTCGAAAAAAGAATTCCCGGATCCCGAAAGAGTTTCATATATATGTTTTTATAGTGTTAGCAAGATACATGCATGTATATGCTAGAGTTAATGTAGTGCTGTTTTATTACTATTTATTTGCATGCTGCACGCCTTCTTTTATTTGCTATTGTATATGTTTTTATATTCGGTGAAAAGCTCATTAGAACATATGTTTAATATGTTTGTCAAATATGCCGAATCCAAATAAGTTTTATAATTACTTACTTACTTACTTACTTACTTACTTATAAACTTACATGGATTTTGATGTGCATTTTTTTTCCAGTCTGCAGAAGATAGCAAAATAAACATACAAACACATGAGTTTCATTTGATACGGTCCACTCAGTTACACAATTTAAATCACTTCTCAAACCTCTTTCCCAACTTAGTTTATTTTGGCAACTTAATATTAGTTTAATCTTCAACTTGGTTCATTATAAAGACATCTGACCTTTTACAAAAGGCTGGATGACATATGACCTTGAAGAATTGCAACCGGAAGTGACTTTGAGAAAACCGGAAGTAACCATTTTTGCACTTTCTTTATGGAAAAGTACTCGGAATCCATATATTTTGTAATTTTAATACACTAACTTATCACTGAAGATTTTTGACCAAACGAGGTTATAAGAAATGGGACAAGGGATTTGCACGTGCTAACAATAACAGCCGCAATGACCTATTACAATACAAACAGAAGAGGCGCAGCAAAGTAGTTCCATTTGTTTTAACATACAATCCCGTACATTGCCAAATAAACGGATCACCGATGTTTTTTCTCAGAGACAAGTGCCTAAAATCCATAATCAAGATCAAGATAGCACTCCGAGCAAACGATATTTTTTTTCTATATTTTACTGATAAATAGACTTGTTTTGTGCACTATATAGGTTTCTTAAAAATTTTGTGTTCAAGTTCTTAAAGAAAAATACAACACTTTAAAAATCAAAGGAACAGAGGATAAAAGAGAGATACATAATTATATAAAAGGGTAAAAATACAACACTTTTAAAATCAAAGGAACAAAGGATAACAGAGAGATACAAAATTAAATAAAAGGGTGAAATAAAATAAAATGTGTTATTGTAGGCCAACAGAAAGAGGAATGTCACATTTGGAATGTTGTTCATATTTAATCTGTAAACATTGTATTTTATGAGATTTGAAACTTGGTTAATACATACGATAATGTTGAGATTGTTCGAATGATCATGTACATGTACACATTTACACAAATCATTGTCCTCTAGGCGAAACATTTCATGGTATATCTTTATGTGTTTTTATATTATTTACAGGATATATATATTTTTTTTAACAACAAACGACTAAAGTTTCAGACAGTATATACGATTTACAAATTGAAAATTATGCATTCCATTTGTGAAAGATCAACAACACGTAATACATAAAAATTATATAATGCTACTCTTATCTATGAAAATAACATAAACTGTGTTTTACTACTATATTAAAAAACATAACTTCCCTCGCATATCAGTTGCAACCAGGGTTTAAAGGCAAAACAGTGGCCCTTTTAAAACAAAACTAGATTTGATAAAGACTATTAAAGTCCAGATTCAGATTGAAATTTGACCTTTAAAGACAAAGCACCATGACCCGAAATAACCCCCTCAGACATCCTGGCTAACGACCGGTAAGGATTTGTATTTCTTTTTTTGTAACTGTTAGAGGATAAGAACAATTTAGTCAATCACCGATGACAAAAGAAAAACTAAAGAAAAATGAATCAAAAACTACAAAGGGAGGTCACTTGTACCCAGTTTTTGTGTTTTTATGTAATTATTTTTAAAAAGTTCAATAAGTTAATTAAGATTAAGAAAACAGCAAAAGGGATCAGTAAGAGAAAATCTAAAACGGCAAAAGGGATCAGTAAGAGAAAATCTAAAACGGCAAAAAGGATCAGTAAGAGAAAATCTAAAACGGCAAAAGGGATCAGTAAGAGAAAATCTATAATAAATAGTGAAAAAACACGTCTTTTGGATTATGAAAAGAAGACCGACATATAAATATTGCATAAATCAAAGTAGTTTCGTTAACCGATTAGAAAATTCACATCCTGTTTTAATATATTTTTCTCTCTGACAGTGTGGCAATTTAACCCTTTCCGGACCCATTAAACAAATTTAATCAACGTGTGGTTGCCGATGATCTCAGTAGATGATTGGGTGAGTTTACGGGTCATAAAAAATATAACCTTTATCAACTCACTGAATGAATCAAAA